TACCTGTCTATTTATCAATCAGTCAGTCAGATAAATAAATAAAGCTGGGAAAGATTGAAGGCCGAAGGAGAAGGAGACAGCAGAGGATGAGATGGTTAGATAGCATCACTGAAGCAATGAGCATGAAACTGAGCAAACTCAGGGAGGCAGGGAAGGACAGGAAGGCCTGGCATGATGTGGTTCATGGGGTCACGAAGAGTCGGACACGACTTAACGACTGAACAACAAATACTTAGCTAACAGCCAGGGCAGCAAATTGAAAGGAAAGGATTGAGAAGAACAGCATGATACGTTTCTATTATTTTCTTTATATTTCACATTACTTAGGACTTAGGTGTGAATGGAGAACTGGACACTTCCTTAGTCGTCGTAGCTGATGAACAGTGGAAGAGGATTCGCAGTGCTTTGTCTCCTACTTTCACCAGTGGGAGGCTGAAGGAGGTAAGGTATGAGGCTTGCCGGTCGTGGATGCATTTCAGCCTTCTAACCAATTCTTGCATTGACTAAAGAAAATTAAGCCTGCTGGTCCAGCTTGATGAAGCAATGTCAGTGGTTGATTTTAAGTAACATAAACTCAATCTTCATGAGAATATAGGAAGTCTCCAGATACTGGGTCAGGCAAGCTTAACCTGACATACCCTGTTTGGCACCATTGTCTGGATCTTCTCCAAGTGTGAAATCAGCTTGTCCTAAAAGGAAATACTGCATCTCAAGGAATCATATAAGTCATATTCTGGAAGGCCTAACTAGATTTTTTGGAGCCTTGCCCAAACCCTGTTGGGTCTTGTGTGTTTTCCTCTATGAAATCTGAGTGCAAATTTGAACACACCCATTAATTTCCTACAGCTGCTAAGATACACGGTACCTTTTAGAAAAGTCTGTTCTTCGTTACTGAATTCCTCCCTACTAACTTTCCAAGAAATTCCAGTGTTCCCTGGAATATGCATTCTAAACTATTTGCTAAATTTATCTAAATCATAACTTCTTCTCATAAACACGGTAAGATCTTTTTCTCCATTTTCCTATATCAGAGTAAAGTTAGCCTTCCCTAACCCTTCCAGAGACACTGGGATTCCAACTCTCAAAATTTCTAATTATCGTGGCAAAAGGAACATCAGATTGGAAAAGGTTGTTGTTGTTTTTTAATGAGAGCAGTTTTATTTTAGCTACAATTATCTCTTCCAAAATCGGAAAAAAACTGGTTAGCATAGGCTTTCTTCCAGCTTTGGAATGGTGGGACTATGCAAGTTATCTCTATGAAAATGGATTGAGCTCTGCTCTATCTTGCTAAATCTTAGCCGAATTTCATAAGCAGCCAACATTTGTATGCTGTTATGATCCATCAGCCTCCTTGCTTAGGAGGAGAACGGGATCTTGTTTAACATCTTGACATGCTCAATGCTTACAGCAAATGAAGAGACAGCTATAAACTCAGCAAACTATCAAATTTAAGATTATGTTAAGAGATACATTTTAAGGAACTTTGAGAATGTTTGCACAGAAGAAAGTAACTCAGACTGGGGTTGCTTAGCACTTAAATTGCTAATTGGATTCATTCCGTAAATCGTCTAAGTGTCTACTGTTTCTCATGCATTGGTCTTCCTCTCAGATGATGCCCATCATCAACCATTATGGTGAAAGCTTGGTGAAAAATGTTCAGAAGAAGGTGGAGAATGATGAAGAGATTGATATGAAGTTGTAAGTAATAACTATGGGACTTGGTAGGTAGCAACCCTTTTCTAATGGAAATTTACAAAAGGAGAGTTTGTAACTTAGGCATACAAAAATGATTTGACTTGATAGTTCAGATTTTCCATAATACTTGAAATCCCTCATGCCACTATGCCCTGAAATCACTTACTGAATGTGTTACGAGATGGCTTTTAATGGTTGAACCCCATGCTATGTTTCTCCTTCTTCCCTTTAGGATCTTTGCAGCTTACAGCTTGGATGTGGTAACCAGCACTTCCTTCAGTGTCAATATTGACACCCTCAACCATCCCAATGACCCTGTTGTTGTGCACATGAAGAAAATCCTCAAATTTAGCTTCTTCAATCCTTTGCTAATATTGATCGGTAAGAGGTCTTGATGTGCCACAGATCTGGACATATCTGCTCTGCATCTTGGTTGCTTGCTGGAAAGGCATTCATTATACAATTGCTGCACTTCACTCTTCACATTTTAAGGCCGATTCAGATTATACCTTTGTAAAATTCCTATACTTTCCCCCATATCTTCCACTTTTCTTTGGAAGAAAAGAAACATCACACAGTGTGCTTTATGGCTGAGAAAAGTTGTTTTGCCACTGTATCACACTAGCTGTTCAGTACCTGAGACCATAGGCTAGATCAGTAGACCTTCTTTCCCTAAACTAGCACCCGCCTGCCCCCCAGTCTTGGTTGGCTACCATCCCAAGTCTGTGCTGGCTGTGAATAATGGGAATAATGCAGAAGTCTAGGACTTCTGCAGGATGTTGGGGAGGAGAAAGCTGTTATAGCTACTCAAGCTGGTAGCTTTATTAAATATCATTTATTTATTCACTGAATCAATTTTAGGCTCCCTTAATCACTGTTGCAACTCTCTCATGGTAGACCTGCTATTTTGCTAGAACCTCTCTCCTAGAAAAAGATAATGGGGGCTTCCTGCTGGGTTTTTCTTGCTATGTTGTAGCTTGGTTGTGTTCACACAAATGATCTGTTTGTTTTCCCACCCCGTCCCCCAGTCGTTTTTCCATTCCTTACTCCAGTGCTACAGAGATTCAACTTCAGTTTGTTTTCCAAGTCTGCTATGAACTTCTTCTTTGGCCTCTTCAGAAAAATCAAGGAAGATCGACAAAAGGAGGGTCACACGGTCAGTCCAGCTATTTCGTGGCCATGGTCATACTTCCTCTTTTTCTGTGGCTCTTGTGACCTGGGATTTACGTCCTCTGTGTGTGTATGTGCGTGCCAAGCAGGCTTCAGAACTGCTGCTTGGGTTTTAAACACGCTCTAAGCCTGAGGGGGCAAGTGGACACATCGATGACAGTTCTGTCTCCTAACGACAGTTTTTCTGTCTCTCTGCCATTCCAGCATCGAGTTGATTTTCTCCAGCTCATGATAGAATCCCAAGCTGCAGCCGATGCCTCTGTTGAGCCAAATTCCTCTAAAGGTAAAGTTACAGATCTTGCTTTTGAAAAAAGGTTTTTTGGGGCATGTTGATTTGCATGGATGAGCTCAAGATAAGCATTTGTGAATTATGCTGAAACCAGGGGGCTCTGGAAGAGAGGATGAGCGAAATATATGGTGGGTTGAAATGCCATGCATGAAGGCCTGGTCCATTGAAATTGGATCAGAATGCTGATTAGAGAGAATGCTGCTCCTGGAAGATAATGAGACAGGGTAAGATACAATAGATGGAAGACACCCCTACACCATTCCTTTAAGTGATGATCACCTTCGATTTGCAGCCTGCCTGTCTGCTTACAGTGATTACAGTGATCCAGAAGGGATGTAACTTTAAACCAAATTCTTTTGCTGTCCATTCCTGCCTCCTAGAACATAATCACGAGAAGGAGATCAAACGCTCTTATTTTAGATGAGTCACCGTTCAGATATAATGTTAAATCCTGGCTATGGTTTGTTGACACTAGCGTCTCTTCAAAATTTGCCTTTTTTCTGCAAAACTTAGTTAACATGAACCATAGCAAGTTTGAAAGGAAGCATAGAAGGGAAAGATAAGATCCTAAAGGGCCCATGGAAGTTTAATGTTGATTAATATTACATCTATATCTGCTCGTCCTACACTGTGCCAATATTCAAACTGGAGGAGCCACGGTTTGATGGATATGCTCATTTTATCAAAGTAGTGTTTGGTATTTTAGTTTTCTCTGCAGGTGAAAATGCAGCTGCTGGTGTTCTTCATATGATGAGAGAGCTGTTTAAAGCTGATGATCAAATCAGATCCTCTGGATAATTGTGTTACGCTGAAAGCCCCAAGTCAATCTGAGATATTTACTGTAGTGTATGCATGTCATAGTGAATGCCATGCTGATGATCCCAAACTTCTTCTGTGCTTTCCTTTCTTATCTGACAGCTTTAACAGACAAGGAGATTTTGACCCAGGCACTTATTTTTGTTTTTGGTGGCTATGAAAACATGGGTACCACACTCAGCTTCCTGTCTTACTGTCTGGCCATTCACCCCGATGTTCAAGAGAGATTGTACCAAGAGATCAGCGAAACTCTTCCCAATCAAGTAAGAATCCTCTCTGGGCTCTGTGTCTATGTTAGGTAAGGATAGAACAGTTTTAGTAGCAGGTGTGTTCATCCAAAAGAGCAGAATCAGACTCTTGTTTTGACAGGACAGGACTGCAATGTTTACAAAACTAAATGTGAACCTTGAGGAGCTGAAAGATGGCCAGCATTCCATGATTTTTGTATCATGAGAAGAGTTTTTTTAATATTCCAGTTCTGGTCTTTTCTTTCCAGATCACCTCTTATACCCCAGAATGTAATGTTATTTTGTTCTGTTTTGTTTTTGCCTTTTGCGCAGGCCCCTCCCACCTATGAGATTATCCATCAAATGGAATATCTAGACATGGTGATGAATGAAACTCTTCGTCTTTACACTCCCGGGGGACGACTTGAGAGAGTTTGCAAAAAGACAGTGGAAGTCCATGGAGTGACCATTCCAGAAGGAACTGCAGTCATGATTCCTGTTTTTGCCTTACACCGTATCCCGGAATATTGGGCTGAACCAGAGGAGTTCAGACCTGAGAGGTATGTTGTGGGGAGAATTGTCCTTCTGAAACCAACGAATAAGACACATAACACCATGAGGGCACCAGGGAACAAAGCGCTGGTTGTAATACCTCAGTACGACATTTATCATTCTTTGACATCCAGCATCTACAAAGTCACGCAGGGCTTTTTTTATGATCTACATCCATAAACCATGCATGGAACTTAATTAACTCCATTGGCGAAAATGATGGCTAAGCTGACTTTAGCAGCTGAAACAATGGCTTGGTTTTATGTTCCAGCAGCTGAACAAAGAGCTGTAGGGCAACTGACATCAAGCCACACTGATAGGCACTGGAAGAGTAAAGGTGCATGGAGGAAATTATATTTAATCTTCCATATTTTCAGTTAGAAAAGATTCCCCTCTTTGAACAGTGCCTGGTGGGCCAAAATATGAGAAATAGGGCCCGTTGACTTACACTGTTGCTGTCATTGGTTGGAGAGCATAATAGACTCAAGACTTTTGGCCATAACTCATGGAATTGTAATCGTCTACAAGCCCAATTTAATTAAGCAGGATTTGCAGAAGAACAAGAATTCAGGAAGGACTATGTCTCAGCAGAAAGCAGAAAATCTTCAAGTCTGACATCCTCAGTTAAAGAGGATCAGGTGGTAGGTAATAGAAAATACCACTTGTGGGCCCCATAAACATCACTGAGTTCAGTGGTCAGATAATCTGATGTGACAAGGCAAGGATGTTTTGTCTAGATTTAACTGTGCTGGAAATAGAATATTTCATTGACAATGGTCATGGGGAATGAGAATCACCAGCCATGATAGGTAAACAAAATCTTACTCTTTGGGGTGGAAGATCTCCATACGGACTAAATACCAAGAGCAAATACTTGATACATTCATGTCCTGCGTGTGAACTTTGCCCCAGCATTCCTGAACCAAAGATTAATTTAAGATAGTGTTCCTCAAACTTTGGCATCCAGAAGTGTCGGGATCACAGTTCCAGAATTTCCCAGCCTAGTTCTAGGGATTGCCCCATCAGTTTGAAGAAGGATAGCTTTATCAAAGGGGTGGTAAGTGTAGATCAGCTGGCAATCTCAACATTCATTGAGAAAGACGCAGAAACAGTGTGTTTTAATTATATTACCATCCATTGGTGCACGGAGTAGCATTGGAGGAAATTGTGTCTACACAAGTAAATGGTGGACAGTATATACCATTCTAAAACTAAAGAAATCAAACATTTCAAGTTCTTAACAGATATCTCTTCTGACTTACAGCCTGTTGCAATGATTTTTCAGGGCATTCCTTTAGTTCTGCCCTTAGATCAACCACTGAACCACAATGACTTCTCTCCACAAATGTTTATCCTGGTTCGTTGGTCTCGGTCACCATCGTTCAGTGGTGAAGGAACAAAAGTGTGTCTTGGTTACAGAACTGAAGCACATTCCTTTGGGAATAGAAGCTTTGCTCAGTAATTATTCTTTTCTGATTTTCAAATAGGTTTAGTAAAGAGAACAGAGTAAACCTAGACCCATATGTATTCCTCCCATTTGGAGCGGGTCCCAGGAACTGCATTGCTATGCGTTTTGCCGTCCTGGTCTTGAAAGTGGCTGCGGTCATTCTGCTACAAAAATTTCACTTCCAAACTTGCAAAGAGACACCGGTAAGTCATATTTACAGGGGGACAACTTGCATTAGAAGCTCTTTTGTGCTTGTTTGCTAAAGAGTTTACTCAACTAATTTCCAAACACACATATATGTCTTGTTCAAAGACAAGGAGGTGATGAACGTGAAAGCAAGAACTCTTTGGAAAGACAGGGTCATCTTTGTGGGGTGAGAAGCCTGGTCCACCCAATATCGGTGTGGTTCTCAAACTAATAGCATTGATGGAGAGCCACCTTGTTAAACAGGTTTCAGTTGTGGGAGATTAGCAGTCATCATTCCTGGGTGGTTCTGCTTCTACGTCTGCTGAAAGTAGAGTTCTGCTTGGTGTTCGCAGCAGTGTGAAGCTTCTAGACACTGTCTGTGCCCTTGTCAGTTGCAACATAGACCTTGGGGAAAAGCATTTGAGTTGAACAAAATACAACAGAGACATTGGGTAGTCATAAGAAAAGGCATAAGTGTAAAACATCATTCTCGGTAGTCATTTCAGACCTTGTTTGCTGAATCACCTCTTTTAATTCCATCCACCTCATGTTTTCTTTCTCCCTTTCTTTGGGTTAATGGGAAAGATCCCCCTGGAACTGGACACCAAAGGGCTCCTGAAACCAAAGAAGCCAATCAAGTTGAAGTTGGTGCCCAGAGCTGTTGTGGAACATGAGGAATAGAGAATCTGGAGACTGCAAAGAGGCTGTCGTGTCTCCTTCCTTCCTTTTGCAATGTTTTGCCTTCACATCACCTAGGAGTAGTAATTTGAATGGGTAGAATTAAATGCCTATTTAGACATTTTCTCCTGAACTTTTCAAGGAGGGCTGGACGTGCCAGTTAATTTTGGTTTCCCTCCAGTCTTTGCTTTTTTTAAAAAAATAAACCTGTTTACTTAATATACACATCACTTGATTTTGAATGACTCACCTCACAAGCATTCAAGGGGCTGCATTTTGCACCGATGCAAGTTTCTGATCCTTCTCCAGGTTTCACCCTTCTTCCATCAAGGGAAGTTGCTAAACCATCTCCCTGCTGACTGCCCCAGGGTTCCTTGACTGATGAGGTACAAAGGTGATTACATAAATAGACATTTTATGGAGAGTTGCTATGACTGGAGAGAGGAAAAGGCAGGTGACACATGTTGGCCATGAAAATATTTCAAAATAAGAACATGTTTGCATCCTGCCTAGACACAGCTTTTCAATAATACAGTCATTATAAACTATTAGGGAAAATCCCTGGATGTTGCAGCAGCAATTGTGTATAATCTCACCAGGAAATGTTAGATATTAAACTTAGAGCTTTCTGCACACCAAGTGGATGTTCTACACCAAACCATTTCTCAAGAGCTGGAACAATGCTAACCATATAAGATGACCTCATTCCATTATGCAATGCCCTCTCAGTGGCAATAAGATGTTGTAATAATGTTAGGGGAGGAAAAGCAGTTTTGCACATTTTAGTAGGAAGACCTTGGCATGGCAGTTGGAGTGGTATAAGACATGGTTACGTTTAAAGATCAAAATTGCTGTGCTAATGTGCAATTTTTGATGCCTTCAAAACCAGTCATGGTTTTTTGCCCCACTCTCCAAAAGGAAGAACCTCCTCCAGTCCTGCTAATTCAGCAAAATTTGTGGCATTGTCTTTAATGTGCCAAGCAGAAGCATGGAAACAATAGTGAGATGGTTGTCTGGGCTCCTTGGGCATCCAGAAAACCTCAGGTTGTGACTTTTCAGGATGGTGGGGCTGAGTAGATACTCCTAGCCATAGACCTTGTAGAGTGTATTTGCAGTAGTGTCTCTGCTTTCCATGTCCCTTGTCATCACGAAACCTCCCAGCTGGAACTGCTGGTCAGGGTCTAACCCTGGATATGGTTATGTCCATTTAAAGATAAGTCTCACTTGCTAATTGAACAGATGGAGAATGCAAGAGAAAATGAGCTTTTTGGTAAATGCTGTTCATTCACTAGGGGGTGCTTTAGCCTGGCATTTCTATGGAGGCGAGTAGATGACCTTCGTGTAGAAGGGTCTCTGGAAGCGATCAAATCTAGGACTCAGAATCAAGGAAACATTTCTCCATCCTTTCCATGTTTAGGAAAGTCCTGCATCTTTAAACCACTCAAGTTAGATTGGAAAGTAGGAGTGTATATGTACTTTCTTATTTAAAAGACAACTTTATTACCAAAAGCTATTTTATCTGGCATCTGTCATAGCTCTTGCATTCGTATAAAAGATTACATTGTAATAAAAAAGACTGCATAAAGCTGATTTATCTGACAGAAAAGCACGCCACAGCTAGATAAGGTCAGTAATAACCTGAGCTTGCAGTTTGCTCTGTTTTAAATGGAGCAGTTTCTGATGAAGATAAATATGTTCTTTGGAATGGATTCAGGGGGCAGGAAGGTGCTATCTGTTCAGGCAAAGTCACATAAGATTGACCCATGGGGCTCAGTCCAATCTCAGGAACAAGCAGAGGAAAGCTACATGTTATGGTGACCCCGGTGCATCCAGGATGGTGTGATCATTAAAGTGGTAGACGAGGAGTGGAGAAACCAGGTTCTTGTCCCACCATCAGCCATGGAAGCCCTGTGGGAGACTTTGGGCCAGTCCTTCTCTCTTAGTCCGAGAATCAATGTGGTGTAATGGTTAAAGAATTGGGGGAGGCCTGGGTCCAATTTCTCCCTGAGTTCACAGAAGCTCACTTGAGTGACTTTCATCCAATCACTCTCTCCTGGCCCAGCCTCTCTCATACAACTGCTGTTGTAGGAATAAAAATTGCAGGAGACACCTGTACTCTGGCCACCTTAAGCCCAGGAGGAAACGCCAGACACCTAATAAATTACCCAATACAAAGAAGCTCAGGTTTTCATTCTGGGGTTGGCAAGAGCCATGGGAATCAGAGTTCCAACTCAAGCCTTCTTCTGCAAGGCAAGTACCAACTCTGGTTTCCTATTCAGAGCTCAATTTTTTCCTTTTATATAGCTACTTCATTGTGATTTCCTCTTCTTTATTTGCTGCTTTGTTCTCCTTGGCATTGTCTGAAGGAGAGGTCCTTCCTACAGTTGCCACAGTAAAGATAGAAGGACAGGATGGAGCTGACTCATACGATTAAGCCAAGAAAGGCATAGTGTCCCACAGCAGCTGACCCAAGAACACACTAAAAAAATACCGCTTGTTTGCTGCTATTCAATCATCCTGCAGTGTGACACAGGCCAGCGAAAACAAGGAAGTGGACCTTTGTCAAAAAGAACTGAATAACAGGGCAAGCACGAATGTATTTCCATGCACACAACAGAACTTTGCACTCGTGCTCCGTAAGGATTTTCTCCCCTCCCTTTGCCAACAGCAAGTTATTTTTACATTAAACTCATGCCAAATAGCAGTAAGCAAATATTTATTGCCAGCTACCGGGTAGAATCCAAAGAACTGAAAGGCACTGAAGTATCTGTGACTGAATTCCTTTACCCCCTCTGCATAGTTATTTAGTTATCGGCTTTATTTAAACATTGACCGCTGCCCACCCTCATTTTTCTGGCCTTAGGCAGCTTGTTTTATCAAAAATTCCACCTAAAGTTCGGTAGAACCATTAAAATAATTAAAACCAGTGGCATCAAATTTATTTATTTTATTTATTTATCAAATCGATAGAGCCAGCCATCTTATGTATGTGACTCTGGGCAGTGCACCCAATTTAAACAAAACAATGAAAACAGAACCATTAAAATTGATTAAAACAATGAAAAAACTATTACCAAAAACACAGGAGAGTGCATTCAAAATTTTACATTCAGTATAACCATTTTGCGGGCTCCCGTGAAATGTAAAGGCTTGGGGGAAGTGTTCAACCTTACTTCCATATCCTATCTATCTCCTTCCATTTGGCTAAATAGTCACAAAGCTATGGTTTTCTACAGTATTTCAACTTCTCACTTCCTGAACAGTGACCTACTGATGTTTCTTTTTCTCCATGCACGATGGTGAAAAGCTACCTGTTCCCTTTGCTTATTTCAATTATTTCAAATATTATGATGCGTCTATCCTACAAAGATCAGAATCGTGCAAGCTGTGATATTCCCTGTGACCCTCGATGGAAGCGAAGTTGGAGGTAGATCGTCATGGAGAAAATCTACCTATATGGTTGGTAAGAGTCAATGCTAAAGTCAACTTTGACTTGATGAAACAGTCAGTGCAAACAACCAGCTCCCTTGAGAAGTCCATAATGCTGGGAAAGGCAGAAGGAAAGAGAAGAAGAGGATGACCAGCAGCAAGGTGGCGGGACTCAGTTATGGTGGTGAGGGGTGCACCATTAGAAGACCTGAAAGACCAGATTAGGAACAGTTCACCATGGAGAAAATCTATCTATGTGGTCGCTAAGAGTCGACATTGACTTGATGGCAATCAATCAATCAATCAATCAATCCATCAATCAATCCATCAATCAATCCCTTAGCTTAAACCCATCTTCTATAATCTGGTATTTCCACATCGTTTGAGGAAGGCAGTTCCTCTCATGCCCAGCTAAAGAAGCAGATCCCCATTGTTGAATAGGTTTCCAATTCTCCCTCTCCACCCCTCACCCCCCCCCCAACAATCTTCGGTCATGTTCTTCAAGTACTATAAGAGAGTTTCCAACAGAGGACATGGTCTCATTTTAATGTCATTTTCAAATGAATTGAGCTTAAACAGGCGTACCACCTACACACATATTTGTCCTGCATTATTCATTGTGCTCCTATCCCTCCTTTACGTTACTTCTCAGAAGGGATCCGGTAGCAATTTTTCCAATTAACAAATGTTATTAAAAGCACATGCTTTTCTGAGCTTATGAAAGCTAATGTCTTTTAAGAACATTTGTTAGTCTGAAAAGGTGCTACCCGCCTCCTCCTGATTTTTTTGCTACGGCAGACTTACAAGGCTCTCCTCTTACAGTGAGTCGAAACATTGCAATGCAATGGGAGGGAGTGGGGGAAGTGAGTGGTGTGTGTGTGTGTGTGTGTTTATGTGTGTGTGAATCTTTTTAGCAGTTTGACTGGAAGGGAAGCAATTAGCATACAGAGGGAGTCATTCTAAAAATCCCAAACTGCTTCTATGTAGAACAATGCCATGGTGGCAGGAAGTATTTTGAACCTTGCTGATCCCTAATGCAGGCAATCAGATATTTTCCACACTCCAGAAGTCCCTGCCACAAAGGGTTGTATATCTGTGATGGAATGTGCCTACAAAGGGGGAGGTGTTGTGATGGACTACAGTAACGCAGCAGGTTCTCAGGAAGGAGGGAGCACATTCCAGGAAACGGGACAAGACACGAGACAACACAGTCCGGAGCAGGAGCGTGGGAAGAGGAAGAGATTTAGGAATAGCCACTCCCTAGAATCTCCCATGGTATATCCTCTAGGTTAGAGTAATACAGTTTTAGTCTGGCAAGATTCTGTCTATAGGGTGTAAACAATAAAAGAACTGAACTTGGATGGACTGTTTACCTGTTGTTCTTGGGCTGGGCCTGACAATATCCTTCTGTTCCTGCTGCTACTCATTTTCAAATGGGATAATTGTAGAGATCTAAGTGAAAATTTGGGTCCCATTTCATTGTTTTCTATCCATCTATCTATATGTCCACCTATCCATCCATCCATGCTTCTCCCTCCCTCTCTTCTCTTGGCCCAACCATGGAGAACAGATAGGAAGGCACCATTTTCATTTTAAGTGACTTCACAATTCTCTGTGAAATCCACTCCTGGAAGCTTTCAGGAACTTAAGGTTGGCATTATGGAGATGCTTTATTGTTGCTTTTCTTAAATTATCAGGAGTCTTGGATCGGTAGAGCTTTGCACCCTTTCAGACTAACAAGTTTTCATTAAAAGGCAGAAGCTTTCATGAACTACAGATCATCTCATTAGATGCAAGACTA